CCTAAAATATATATAATATATCTATATCTAATACTTTATTAATTTCTACCTATTAGCATCTTGTATACCTTGTTCACTTACACAACTATTTTGTCCATAACATAAATATTTTGGTTTTACATAAAATAAATTGGAACTAGTGTTATTCAATAAAATAATAGTGTTTATATATTAGTAATTATCTCAAAAAAAGGCGTTGGAAAAAATCTTATTGCAGATTTGAAATTAGCACAATAACGTGGTTTAGCAAATTATATTTTGGTCTATGTTGATTAAAAAATGTTTCATTTTAATGATGTGATTTTACTGTGTAATTATATATATATAATAATTTTGTACTTTTATTATTTGACACGGTCACGGCGCTGTCACACGTTTGACACACCGCGGTCGTGTCCGCTCCTCCTCAGCCACCGCTTCACTATAAACCGGACCGTGACACACACGCGTTATCGTCGTGGTATAAAGTCCAATAAATGCCTAGAATCGAATACCCGCCGCAATAATACGTCCAGTAAGTAATTCCCGTGACACCGGCCGAGACACAGCCCGTACGGAAATTTTTTGTTTTTTGAGGGTTGAGATCTTCATTTTCTTCTTCTTCGTCGCCTTAATCCCAACTACTTGGGTTAGGCCATTTGAGGGTTGTGATTATTTAAATAATTGTTAAAAAAATTTGGTCACGTGAGAGCTGAGAAAAATTAATTATAGACATAAAAAACTACATAGTAAAATAATTTTATAGTTGATAGGGTTGAGTATTTTTTAGGATTGACATTAAAAAATGCGCACACTATCACAACACATTCTTAACTTTCAACGAAATTAAAAATCCATTCAATTAAGCGTATTATAAAAATTAATTATAATTGGAAAAATCCATAGTTATAATATTCAGATGAAAACCAAAACAATATTTTAGAAATTATTTTTAAACTGCTAATTGTTTAAACATTATTACTTAAAATTGTCAACAATGGACACAACCAAATCAAATTGTAATTGTTCAATGTATTTTGAATCAACTACCAAGTGAAAATGAAATCATTAAGAAAAATGGTAGTAGAGCTCCAAATGAGCATTGAGCAGTTGAAAACTCAATAAGTTAATCAGCATGTAAGTAACATACTAATAAAATGAAAATAAAAATTTTATTAGTGATTAACTAGGCTGTAGCTCAGATGCTTTACGTAGTATATCAAAAGAATAAGTAAAAGAAATAGAAAAAAATGTATTAAAACTTGTGCCAAAAATTTATAAACCACCTCCAATAACTACCAGTGGTGTTAAAAATATCAACGATTTAATTTCTAATTTAACTCACCAAGAAGCCATTGGTCATGAGCAACAGTTAAAAACTATTGCTAACGGCGTATTAAAATTATGAATGGTGATGAACACCAGTTCAGACGTACTTTAAAAGTACTTGAAAAAAATAAAATTGAGTATCATAGGTTTCAATTAAAAACAGAAAAAATGTTTCGTATTGTAATCAGAGGATTACACCCTGACACTGAAGTATGTGAAATTAAAAGAGCCCTAGCAGATAATGGTCATTATGCAAGTGATGTCACTGACATCCAAATTAGAAAAAAAATAAATCCTAGTGATAAAAATAGTGAAAAAACAATAATAAAATGACCGTTATTTATTTTAGATCTTGATTCTCGAGATTAAAGATATATACGACTTAAATAGTTTATGTTAACATAAAATAAAAGTAGAATCTCCGAAGAAAACAAAAAGGTGTGCCACCACAGTGTAAAAACTGTCAAACCTTTAGACATACTCAAAATTAATGTCAAAAATTTATCTGTGTAAAATGTGGTGAAGAACATAAAACAAAAGATTGCCCAAAACCGAAAAAATCGAAATCGAAATACGCCAATTGCGGAGAAGCCCACACCGCAAATTGGAAGGCTGTTCAGCTTACAAGAAAGTAGAAGAAAAAATTCACCCAAAAAAAACATTCGCAGTGTAACGTCTCCGACAGAAACTTGCTAAAACCATCGGATGTTTTCTATGCTAAAATAGTTAGTTGTTCTAATGGAAATAACGTTATACTTAAAAAACAACCAATACAGCCGGTTGAAAGTAATAACTCCGCTCTAATGAAATTCTATCAACCCTTACAAATATAACAAAATCTTTAACAAATATTACAAGTAGACTTGATAAGTTAGAAAGTAAACAGTCTAAGTCTAACAATCAAAATAAAAAGAAGAAATTAATTGTAACAAACAAAAAGACGTACAAGGCGGTAGGTAGTGGTAGTCTTGTGATGAACAAAAAGTAAGTAAAAAAAGGTATGTTGTGGTAGCAAAGCAATGTTGTTAAATGTGTTTGGGGTTCGGGGTGTGAAAGGAAAGAAATGTAACACAGGTGGCCAATAAGGAAATAATAATCGTAGCGGGCGTAGTGTAAAAAGGATGGGCAGCAATGGAAAGTAAAAGTGACTATAGATACCCGGCAGTGACTACAATAAAATGGAATAGAAAGGGATCTCGGGGTATGTATGCTTGTGTAAAGACGTCTAATGTATGAATAAGATGGAATTACAAAGAAGGGTCACTACCTAGCTCCTGCACAGAAATGCGTACACTAATTTCCGGCGAGTCACAAGTATCGTATTTTTTTATAAAAATATTTTAGTTTATTCTCAATGACCTATCCTGTTCTAATTGTTTATTACTAAAAAATTCTTCAGTAAAGGATCTATTATAGACTTATTATGTAAACAAATGTTTCACTTACCTCTGACTATCTTGATATTCTCTTGAGATGAATGATGTTGTTGATGTAACAATTATCGATGTATACGTTTACGCATTATATTTTGTTGTACGCAATTATATTTATACGGTTTATATTATTATTAACTCGCGTGTAACTACTTTTCTAGTACAATTCTATATTAAATCTACCCAAGGTGAAGTCTAAGTTTATTATAACTCTGTCTTTTTGTAAAAACCTTTTGTATATTTATGTAGTATAGTCCTTAACCTTGTATATGGTGTTTTACCTTAATATATTTATTATTTAATAATTTATAAAGCAAATAAAGAACTTCTAAACAACATAACTGTCCTGTGAAACAAACTATTTCCAAGTGGCCTACGTCTTTTCAGTCGTCCAAAGAGTGATCTAGGGTAGATGCGAGCTCAATTTCGGTTCTTTGCACAATAGATTACACTAGTGTCCTACACTCCGATTGCCCGCACTGTGGCTGAGATCAGATTAGCTAGTCGATAAGTGGAGAGACACTTTTAGTTGTTTAGTATAATGTTAGTTATAAATATTAGTAAAATATTAGTTTTTAATATAATATTTCGACTCTGATTTATTTGTATTTCGTAGCTGGATATACCAACGCGAGATCTCAAATAATATCTTTGTCTTTATGCAAAGAACCTTATGATATGTGGCCTACTTCTTTTCAATCACCTGTAGGACGACCTAGGTTAGATGCGACTGTACTATAGATTTATGCACGATAAGTTATGTTAGTGTCCTACACTCCTGTCCTACACGCACTGAGGCAGAGATCAGACTAGCTAGTCGATAAGTGGAGAGACACTATGAAGAAATCTTATGGTTAACTAAAATTCTAATTATGATATTATTGTACTATTACCCTGTCCAGCCAGGTTGTGGCCCTTCAATAAGTAATAGATACAATTCAATCAAATTAAGTACCTTAGAATATGCTTATATATATAAATATAAATGTAAATAAAAAGAAAATAAATAAACACCAATATTTTATATGTGTTAGAATATTTATATCACCAAAAGTATTCGACCGAAAATAAGATGTATAATATTTTCAGTAATTACGAACGAGGGTAAAAATAGTGCAGATTTCATATAGAATTGTAACTAAGAATGAAACATAAACTCACGCACATTCACTTTTTGTATCTTGGTTGAGTATTCCAGAGAGCCGTAGAGATGCATAGATAGAATGGCAAGGCGTCCCAGTATCCGCTAGAGGGATGTTCAGAAATCGTACATAACCACCGCAAGAGAACCACTGTAAGAGAACCAAGCGCAGAGGAACCATCCGAATTTGGGGAAAAATGGCCTTTTTATAGCCCGCAAAACTGGTTTAGCGATCTCTGGTGAGATTCTTGAAATATTTTTTGCTGTATTTTATTGGTTAATGTGATAGAATCTTTAACGTGGGCATTTTATGGAATACGTAAGAGGGAGGTTAAATCTTGTGTAAGGGTATTATTTTATTACCCATCTTATCCACTGGGGAATACTGATTTGGTGATATATTTTATTTAATATAAGTATTAATTATTACATGTATTAAAATATGATACTACATAATCATACATTACATATCATAGCTTGGAACACCAATTGGCTAGTACAGCGTAAACATGAACTCAAAGACTTCTTAAGTAATGAGAACATTGACAAAACTTTTATTTCAGAAATACATTTCACACCATGGACTTTTTTTTTAAATATTTCTCGTAAATTTTTAAAATTATTTAATTATAAAAATGATATTTATTACATTATTATTATTATAGCCCATAAGATATTAAATATTAAAAAAAAAATTAATTAAAAATATTAACTAGATCAAAAATTATTTAAGTTGTCAGTGAGTGCTGGGCCATTCTATATAGTTTACTCTATAAATACAAAAAAAATATTGACTTTTGACAAAAAAACCACTTTTGTTATAATAGACAGATATTAAATAATTTATTTTTTAATTTTTAGCCTATTATTGTCACGTGAAAATTTTTATAGAGTTTATGTGATCATTACTTAAATTGGAGTCTTAAATTTAATAAAACATACAAGTAAGATTTAGATAACATTTTCTAAAAATTAATGATAACAAAAATGTTTCTTAGTTCTTTTGGTTAAATTACTCATAATATGACATCTCTAGGTTAACAGTGAAATTTTGTTAAAAAATTAAAATTTTCACTAGATGCCCCTATGGTATTTTTCTTTTGTGCTTTCCTGAACACTTATACTAAAAGTATTGCTAAGTAAAAATATAGTATTATTATTTTGCAAGTTGTTGGTTGAATAGCTTTTCCAACAATTGGAGAAATTATAGCATAACCAAATTCTGTATTATCAGATCCATCTCTTGGTATTCGAAAAGTTCCATTTTCTCCCCAAAGGTAACCAAATGAATTGATCAACAACCAATATTTATGACCATTGTCAGTTCCCCAACCAATTAATTTAACTGCATGATCACCTTCGAATTCTCCTACTATATGAGTGTAAATTCCTAATAAGATGTTCATTATTAGGTTTTGGTTTATTTTATTAATACAATATAATTTTAAACATAAAATGAAAATATTACTTTTTGTAAATTATAAATTATTTTAATAAATTATTAATTTAATTATAAATTTTAATTGAATACATAAATAAATTGTTATTAATTATAATAGGTGATCAAGTTTCATAATTATGTACTTTATTTTATGATTAGGGACGGTTCTAAAAATTTTCNTTCATAATTATGTACTTTATTTTATGATTAGGGACGGTTCTAAAAATTTTCTATGAGGCATGGAGTAGCTAATCTTTTTTTTTTTTTGGGCGACAATCAATTAATGTTTTTATAATTTAATAAATTGTTTTGTTTCAAAACTATTTTGCAATATGAATAACACACCCTATTGGGAGTAATTCAGCGCCCTTGCACTTACCACCTCGTTATATCTGCCCCGAGTGGTATAAATGCATTTAAAACTATTTATTTGTTTTAGACTATAATTTCATAAAATAAAAATATCTATACTGTAGTTTTACCTGTCGTATAAACTCTAAAGTCCTCATACATGTGCATGGACACTTGAAGTGGTCCATATTCCATTAAATCTTTCATTATTTCACTGGGGTGTTTGCGCGGCAATGATAAATAATCTATCACTGAATTTAATTAAAAAAATAATTTTATTTAGTTTATGCAACGCTTCCTTAAAAAAAGTAAATGTGAGAATTTCTTTACCATATGTTTTAATAAATTCTGCTTTTATTATTTCATCATTTACTTTGTGAGACCTACATGTCTTCTCCATACATTCTGGAATCAACGAGGTTTCTGTTGAACATTCAAATGTCCTTTGACACGGTGGGGTCATAAAAGGTTGACAACCCTTATTAGAATTTTATAAAAAATTAAATGATATGTTTTCATATTTTTGATATTTTTAAAAGTATATCAATTTTGATTTTGATTAATTTATAATTGTAATTTTAAGACTTATAATGACCTCATGAAATAAAATAATAAAAATATTTTTAGTGATGGTTATTAAATGACAGCCTAAAAAGTTTCCACTAATTTCTTAAAATTAATACTATCAATAGATTTGGTTTGAATCATTTTTATTATAATGATTTTAAATGATCTCTGTTAGATATACTAGTCCCAATTATGCCACGGCCCCACTTTGCCATGAATTCGATTGTGCTGGTTTTTAATTAAGGATAATTTATTTCAACATTTTTTTTACTTGACTTTTACTCCAGTTATCTAAAATTATCATTTATACTAATTACCAAATTTGATTTGTATGGACCTCCAGTTACAATTCCTTTATGTTTAACAAATTCCCATGCACTTCGGATATTACCGCCATTACAACCACAACAATGTTTACAACAACTTATTAAATAATGAGCTGACATTGAATGTTTTATTTTATATTCAGATGCTATGCATTGTCGATCTGATAAAACAGAAGCAATTGCAACAGCCTAAACACATTTATGAAGATATTATTTATAAAAAATTAAGTCAGGACAACAAATAACAAACATTTTTTGTTAACAATTATTATAAAATGTCTTAATAGAATTTTAATACTAATTCAGAATCTGGCCTCAAATTTTTTCTATCACATTTAGTTTTATGTTAATTACTAGTCAGTAATTAAGTGATAATTTACAGTAAAATCATTATAAAAAGATATAAATTTTTTTATAAATTTTGTAAAATTATTTCATTATGCCAAATTTAGGACTGATCCATCAAGTTTAACTAATTTTTTTGGAACTTTAACGTTGAGTTTGGGTGTCGTATAAAAAAAATCTGAACTTTTATGTATAACTTTTATTAGTTTGAAATAAAATTGGTAAACTTTAACTGAGAAATATATAATTTTGTGAGGATTTAAAAAGGATTGACTTTGTACATTTTAAGTAAAGTAAAAAATTGCTGTTAATTCAAAAAATACGAAAAATCTCAAAAATAGTTTAAAAAAACTGAAAAACACACTTTTAAAGCATATCGAACTAAAAAGTTAAAAATAATTTCAAAAAAAAAAATAACCCAGCACAGTAGGGTCGTGGCATAGTTGGGTTCAGTATAGATGATATCTGAAATGATTAAAATCACTATCATAAAAAACGCTTCGATGCAAATCTGTAGTTAGTGTTTAATATAAAAAAAAAATTTGTTAAAATAGCATATTTTTGAATTCGGTAGCCATTTGGGCATAGAAGATAGGTCGTCGGGAAAAATTATTTTTTTTTATTTTCAAAAATTAAGTTGAAAAAGTTATTTTTTGTAAAAAAGTTACTATTTTAAATCCCCCCAGTGAGTTAAGTGTTAGTGTTAGATTTAATAAGTGTTAGATTTTCAAAAAAAATTATATCAAATGAAAGGGAAATATCTAAGGTTTCAATACGAAAAAATATTATTTTTAATTGTTCATTTTTGAAAAAGTTATGGCAGTTTTAAGTACAAAAAACATCCCGATAAAAGGTGATTTTTATCGCAAACATTACATTTTTTTTTAATTTTCGACAGACATTTGCACATAGAAGATAAGATGTCGGGACAAATTTTTTTTTTTTATTTGATAGTATATAACATAACCATTGATTTGATATATGTTTAAAGGACGCAGTATTTCCGAAACATTTTCAAAAGTTCAGTTGAAAAAGTTCTATTTTTTATACAATGTTTCAAGTTTTGAACGCCCCGTATATAAGGGGAAATTGTTTAATTTTAATAAAAAGTATGTCAAATGAAAGATGCACTTATAATGTATTTTAAAAAAAAAATTTGTGCTGATATATACATTTTTCAAAATGTTATAGCATTTTTAAGTTGAAATTTTAAAATCGAAAATCGAAAATTTTAACAAAAAATAGTGTTTTTTTAACTATGGTAGCCGTTTAAATGTAGAAGATAAAGTGTCGGGACAAATTTTTTTTTTTTCATTTTATAGTACATAAAATAAGCTTTAATTTGATATATGTTTGAAGGACGCAGTATTTCCGGAACATTTTCAAAAATTAAGTTGAAAAAGTTAATTTTTGTAAAAAAGTTGCCATTTTAAATCCCCCCCAATGAGCAGGTTAAGTGATAGATTTTCAAAAAAATGATATCAAATGAAAGGTAGATATCTAAGGTTTTAGTATAAAAAAAAAATTATGTTGATTTGTTGATTTTTTAAAAAGTTATGGAAGTTTTAAGAAAAAAAAGTGAAAAAATTTCGAAAATTAGCGATTTTTAAATTTGTAATTTTTTTGGATATTTTCCCCATTTTCGGGGAACGAGGGAATTTTTTTCAATTTTTAAGGGTAATGTCTTCAACTAGATACGATTTGTGATCTTTTGACGTACTTTTGAAAGAAATCGGTCAAGTGAGAGCTGAAAAAAAGTGGCAACAGACATAAAAAAAAACATAGTAAAATTAATACCTTCTCAGCTTCGCATCGAAGCTAAAATAAGCTTAAAACAATAATGAACGAAAAATACTAATATTATTGTGAAAAAAAGGGTGAGAACATTTGTGTCATATTTTTCGTATATTGAGCGCCCAACGCTTTTTTTCACAATAATACTAGTATTTTTTGTTCATTATTGTTTTAAGCTTATTTTTTAAATTATTAGTAATTGACCTTTTTAGCTTCGATGTGAAGCTGAGAAGGTATTTTTACTATGATGTGTTTTTTTGCTTTATATTTACTCAAAATAATATAGTAAATATTTTTTAAATTATTTATTTTACTGTATAATTATTACTTAATTTTTTATTAGTAATTATCTTAAAAACTACATGCGACAGAAAAAAATTGAGGCTAATTTCGAAAATTAACATCAAAACTCCATAGGTAATCATAGTAATATATAAACAAGAAAACGGATGTTGTCCAGTGTTAACATACCCATCCGCACTTGCATTTTCCGTTATTAAAAACTTTTTTTATACTTGGACATTTGTCAGTGGAGTTACTATTTATTGAACTCCATTTAACCCTTGCATCAAATTGTACTGGTATTTCATACGAAAGTTTGAAAAAACCAAATAGTTTTTTTATTTTGGAATCAATTTCTGTTGTATTTTTTGGTATTATGTTGAATTGATATACTTTATTTGGATATGAGCCTGCCTATGGATTTAAATTACTTTTTTATTCAATTAAATTAAATTTTTATTTACCTGCCATGTAGTATTAGGTGTACTGTTTATAATTTCGATCAATTCTTTTTCTCTATTTGCAGTCATAGCTATAGATAGATTAATAAGTGCTAGTAAACCATATATACGCAATGGTTCATAATTCTATTAAAAACAGAGTATATTTTATTTATATTGATATGAATAAAGAAATATGACATGCTATTCTACATTTTCTCTGTCGATTTTAAGTAGAAGTTTCATTTTTATTGAGAATTCAAAATAACATTTCATAAATAGTTAAATAATAATTATTCCATCTTTAATTTTATATCTTGAAATTGAGAAACTCGTTTATTTTTGATACAAACAATTTATAATATGTAGCAATAAAATATTTCTATTATAATGTTTGCCATTATTTAAAAGCGAATATCTAAATATATATTTTAACAACACTGTAAAGTATTCAGTATATTTAAACATAAATAAATATTTTGTTTTATATATATGTTGCTTAAGTAACTAAATATCCAAAATTATATTTTAGCTACTTATAAGTTATGGACAAGACATATTTAATATCTGATATAGTAAGACACTATATCAGATATCTTATGACTGATATTCCACGCAATAGGGTAGTTTGCTTCAGTTAAAGGTATAGATTTTTGATAGATAATGCAGTTCCTGATAAATATGACGTTATAATTATTGTAATATTGCAGAATTTATACTAGTTTGTTTTTACAAATCTAAATCGGTTAGTGGTGTGTACATTAGATATAAGGTATTTTTGATAGTAGTGTATGGGATAACCTCTATCAATCAACCGGTTCGATATCTGTTATCCTATTATCATCAGTTGACCATACACTGTGCTTCTGTACCAATATTCTTGTACTTACCCTCAATTAACTTATTCAAAGTTGGCACCACCACCACCGGCCACTACACGATGATATGACTACGCGATTCTTCTCAGCTATACTACCGAGACGACAAGTTGTTTGTCTATATGTTTTTTTTTATGGCAAAAACCACGTTCTGTTTTTAGTTTTTTTTGTCCTCCGTTTTTTTTTTCTTAAAAATAAAACGTTGAGTTGATCAGCTACCACTTTTGTTCCTTAATTGTGTCAACGAACCAGGCTGTTATTTTTTTTGTTCTCAGTTTTTTTTTGAAAAACAAAAACGTCGAGACATGATGGGCTGAGTAGTCAGTCGTGGCCTGCGATGGGCCATTAAATTTGTTGCCGTGTATCCTCAAGAGGTCATAAATCAAGCAACAACAAGTATATATAAAATCCCCATTAATACTCCTTCATTATGTTGTGTACGTAGCACCTTTTCTTTTTTTTCTTCTTTTTCACCTTTCTTTTTTATGAATATACATTTATACAGAGTGTTCAGTAAGTCAAGAAACGGGTTTCTATTGTTCTCATTGTTACAAACAATGAACACCCTGTATAACTTTTAAGTAATTAAATTAGTGATCAATAGGCCTCTTTGTCACATTTAACGAGGGGTTGTTTTTTTATTGCCTAGTATGGATGGGTAACCTGCCGTGAAGCATTACTTCCCCTTTGTGAACATTGTTTTTTGATTCAATCAACATTATAATGTTATATATATACAGAGTGATTTTTTATCATAACCCACTCAATTACTTACAGAATAATAATAATTAAAAAATTTTTTTTTATTACTATCTTTAGTTACACATTATTCTTGAATTATTAACTATGTAATACTTTTTAAGTTCATCCCTCATGCCTGGTAAGGGTGTCAACTTTGTTTTTTTAAATGGTAACACGTATTTTTAATTTAATAAAATGTTTGAGTTCTTAATTTAATAGTAAATGGCATTTGAATTTTTAATACAACTCTATTCGTTTATTAGATATAAACATTTAAAGTTTCAAATTTTTGAGTTAATAAACATGTATAATACACAAGGGAGTACAAATACAGGTAGCTAATTAGTTTCCTATGACATCAATATTCGCAGGTACACAGCATTGTTATTATCAATGATAGTAAGGTACATTGTTGTGAGTTTATAAATACACTAACTGACAATACAAAAAGTATATCTATTGATAGTCACAATTGATAATAAACAATCCGTGACTGTGATAGCAATATCATAAAAAACCAATTAGCTACCTGTATTTGTAATCCCTTAATGTACCTTACTATCATTGATAATAACAATGCTGTGTACCTGCGAATATTGATGTCATAGGAAACTAATTAGCTACCTGTATTTGTACTCCCTTGTGTATTATACATGTTTATTAACTCAAAAATTTGAAACTTTAAATGTTTATATCTAATAAACGAATAGAGTTGTATTAAAAATTCAAATGCCATTTACTATTAAATTAAGAACTCAAACATTTTATTAAATTAAAAATACGTGTTACCATTTAAAAAAACAAAGTTGACACCCTCACCAGGCATAAGGGATGAACTTAAAAAGTATTACATAGTTAATAATTCAAGAATAATGTGTAACTAAAGATAGTAATAAAAAAAAATGTTTAAATTATTATTATTCTGTAAGTAATTGAGTGGGTTATGATAAAAAAATCACCCTGTATACAGGGTGTTCAGTAAATAAGGAAACGAATTTCTATTGTACTCATTGTTTGTAACAATTTAACTGTTTCCTAACTTACTGAACACTCTGTATATATATAATACACAATCAATGATAAACAACTATTAGATATTAATAAAACAACATATTATACATAACATATACAATATATTCATCGTCTTCTATGAACTTCATCAACTTCATCAAGCCATCAACTTCCTTCACGCTTCCACGTAAACCGGGTATATTATCTTGTCCTTAACAATAGTGTTAAACATGAAATCGTACACTTTTTTTTTAAACATTATACATTTTAATACATATTTATTATTTTTCATAATTTTATTAATAATTTTATTTTATGGTTCGACCTAATGCATTCTAAATGGCGGCGACAGCTGGAGAACTCATGTTTGGTTGTAAAAAAAGGTTGATAACATAACTACCAGCAGTTTTATATGGTAACGTGGTTAATTCAATTTATTATCTTTTATCAGTGATAGTGACTGAAGATAAAAATTCACAGACTACCGAGACTGCTGTTAACAAAAGGTTAGTATTAAATTTTCATAAAATGAATGCACCCGTAGAAAATGTGTATTAATTCAATTCTACAGAATGAACTTACTTTTATAAACTAACTAATTAACTTTATTTGAATCATAATTGGCTTTGGGTAGTACCAAAACTGAATGTATTATCACTAAGTAGACAGAGAAGTCGAATTCAGATTGGCCATAGTCTTAAAAATTTCTAAATATTTTAGTTTTATGATTGATTGTCAAATCATAAAGAAATAAGAATACGAGTTAATAGTACTAAGTTGTTCCTTTTGATATTTTAGTTTAGAAAAATGAGTACAAATTAAATTATTAGAACTTAAAGCATTATATGGAGAATCGTCTGAAATAATAAATTAATGTTGTTTCAATTCTTTAACTAAACTAAGTATTGTATCTAAATGTATAGGATTATTTGCAGATAACATCAACATCAATTTTGGCTTCAATTTTATCATCAATTTTATTCAAAAAATTAAACAATTCATGTTCTACGTCTACTGTAGGTTCTAGATATGTGACACATATTCTAATTAATTGCGTTTAAAATTCGACTTATGTTTTACCTAGTGTAATTAAAGTAATTGCAAATTTTTTTTAATTTGTTGTACTACGACACTCCTAAATTAATGGTTGACGTTAATAGCTTATACAAGGATCATGCGGATCAATAATAATACTTAAACTAAAATAAAATCCATAACCTATACATGATTAATGTATATATAATAATGAAATTGTGGCCATATGAGATAAGGAATACAAAATACTCTCTCTGGTGTTTGGGTATTGAATAATGTATTAGCCTGACACAGTATAAAGGTGTTTTTAATAAAATAAATTATGTAACACCGTTAAGTAGTCGTTTAACTTTTATTTTCACTTATATATAATATTACAAAAACTGATGGCAGTGAGGTGCGAAATACAAAAAATCGACAATGCACTGATGAAAAGATCACACGGCACGTACGGCGGATGTAAGTCACAGATTAACTGGTTTACATAGTCGCCGACGTGTCTCGCGGTGCTGAACCCCCCTGACCTGTCCTATCTACCGACCGCCGGATAAGACAAACTTGTGTTATCGTCAACACTAATGAGTGCGACGGTGGACAGCTGATAATCACGACCGGATAACGTGCTAATTCACGGTAAATGAATAGTGCGCTATTACGGGCCGTGTCAAGCCGATCTGCCTCCTTCATGAATCATATGACATAATAATTGTCCATAATAATTCAGCTTTATTTCATCAAACTATTTTAAATGTTGAAGGTAACAAAATATGTTCTACTGAAACAGCATTAGTATATTTCAAACTCATTGATACTCTAACACATGGAGGAAACGAAATATTATTACCAACCAAAGTAAGAGAATCATTATCCAAACTTCAATAGAATTTTCATTTCGAATTAAAAACTTTTATAATAGTTGTATAAACTATTTGAATAATTGGTCAACCTATTTGAGCGATTTTAAGTTATTCTCTTGGTTTGGTTTGCAAGAAGCAATTATATGGAAATCAGTATAACTTTCTAGCGATATTTTTAAAAACTCAATTTCTGAAAAACTGAATAAAGACCTACTTTTTAATGAAATAGATCAGTTAAAAATATTTTTGAATTCAAAAAAGATGTCTCAAGAAAATAATACATCAATTGAAGGGAGTTGGCTAAAATTTTTCAATTATATAAAAAAATAAAGAGATATCAGTAAAAACCTAAAAATAGTGTGCCAATTTGTTTTAAGTCTTCCTAGTACAAGTACACCGATAAAAAGACTGATTTCACATATCAAAAAATATTGAACATCCGAAAAATGCTAATTATATGTTTCAATATTGAAGTCAGCAATGTTGGTTTTACGAACTCTGATGAAAACTGTAACGCAATGTTTAAAACTTTAAAATCGGACACTCTTATTAAAAGTCATTCTTGGATCTCAAAAATACATTTCATTTTTATTATTTTTAAATTTTAAATATAATCATCATGAAGGACACATGTTTTTTTTTTTTTATTAAAATTCCATGTTTATGTAATAAATATATAATATGATATTAAGTTTTGCATTTATTTAAATTTTACACATGGTATTACCTTTGAAAACTAATTTAAATATTTATACTTAAGTTTAAGTTTACTTAAATTTTAAGTATTGTCATCTTAAAGATACAAATAAAACTAGTTAACATAATTTCAAATAATTAGTTTTTATTGTTGATAATATAAAAAAATTATAGATAAAAAAGAAACAAGTTATATAGATGGAGATGACCTATAGCTGTTAATAAGTATGGTATGGGCAAAATGGTTAGAAAAGTACACACATTGGTCAATTATGATAAATTATATAATATATATATATATTTATATTAATATATTTATTAATTATTTATTTAATATATTTTATGTGAAATTATATATATATATATATATCTTTTAATTTTTATAATTTTGTAAAATTAATATTATTATGACTATTACACTCCAGAAAAAAATGATTAATTAATTAATTACTATATATATATATAGTGTTGCGACTAATGTCGTAAGCACTAATGAAAATAAAAGACGACACCAATTCGATTATTATCAGAAAAGGCAGTAGCGCCGTTAATTGACTTTTTTAAACAACACAGAAGACAAAAATGTTTAGGTTTTCTTTTACATGCACATAAATATGACACTATTAGGCTGGTGCCACACGAGCGTACAAAATGCGTTGGTACGCACGTACTTTTTGACGCGCGTCGTAGAATTACATTATCGCTTACAGGAGTGGTCACACGAGCAACGTGCGCTAAAAATAACGCGCGTTCGCACGGACGTCAATTTCTTATCGACGTATTTTTTCTGGAACGCACGTCAAGAATTATCAACGCGCGTTTAGAATTATATACATTTAAATATACGTCGACACACGTTCTCACAATGTACGGACATATTGAAGTAATTACTACCACCTGAAATTCCTTACATTACGTTTGTACTGAAATTTTCGTATTATTTCGTAATTAAATTATTTTTTTTTTTTTAAATGTCAAGTATCANATTATTTCGTAATTAAATTATTTTTTTTTTTTAAAATGTCAAGTATCAACAACGAATTGTTAATTAGTGAGGTCCAAAAATATGAAGTCTTGTGGAATACAGCTGATGAAGACTATAAAGATAAACTTAAAAAGAATGGGGCATGGATAAAAGTAGCGTCGTCTTTAATTAATTCATTCATAGATGAAAACGAAGCACAACAAAAAATAATATGTAAGTGTTTTTTTATTATATATAATGTAATGATAATGTACATTTTAAGTAAACAAATATTTTCTATCAACTTTTTANATGTACATTTTAAGTAAACAAATATTTTCTATCAACATTTGAACGATGCATAATTAAATTAAAAATTAAATGTTTATTTTTGTTTCTTATAAATTACATGCAAGGTAAAAATGTTTTAAATATTTTTATTATTTATAAGATTTTATTTACTAATATTTAATTAATATGATAAGTTTTTATACTAATTAAAATAATTAGATTTTTTCAAACTGCCATGGCAATTTTCCTTCGTCACTCATAAAATAATGAGATAGAGCATCACGAATCAAATTTGTATTTCGATTTATTCCTGAATTATCTAAAACATCAAATTCTTCAAAGCCATTTATAGTTAGTGTATCATCCAAACTAAATCCGTCCCGATCGCGAACGAAATTGTGTAATACACAACAACTTTTTACGATATCGACAGCAAAATCTACTTTTACATCAATAGGCCTGTGGAATATACGCCATTTATTTGAAAGTATACCGAATGTACACTCCACATATCGTCTAGCACGTGTCAAGCGATAATTAAAAATTTTTTTTCGATTTGGCAAATGAGTACCGGAGTATGGCCGAAGCAAATGCGTGTTTAAACCAAAAGCTTCATCACCAACAAAAGCATAAGGTATAGGAATATTTATTCCTGGTACTTGTGACGATGTAGGAATATTTAAATTATTTCTCTCCAAATTCTTCCAAAGCACCGAATTTCTAAAAATAGTGGAATCAGAATCTTTCCCATATGACCCGACGTCGACATAAATGAATTTATAATTTGCATCAGCGACAGCCATAAGCCCAATTGAAAAAAAGTGTTTATAGTTCATAAACAAAGAGCCACTTCTCTCCGGTTTTACAACACGGATGTGTTTACCGTCCACAGCGCCCAAGCAGTTGGGAAAATTTGATCTGATTTTAAATTCCTCTGAAATTTTGAGCCACATATTTTCATCTGGTATAGGAATGCATACCTCTTTTAAATTTTTCCAAATACTTAGGCAAACTGTTCTTACAACTTGACTTGCAGTGGATCTACCTATCCGAAAATTGTAATGCAGTTCTTGAAAACTGCAGCCGGAAGCTAGGTATCTGTTAAAATTAAAAAACTATAAAACTAAATATTACAAACATAACTTTTATATAGACTGGTAAAATTTACACTTTTTTGAACATTAAAGCTTTGCTGAGAATCGTTTAATTAAAGTAATAATTTATCATTTCTATAAAATTATTCATTTAAAATAAAAACAAATATTTGAAATTTTAAATAAATTTTTTCCAGTATTAGACATAATGAGTAGATGGCGTACAATTCGTGACAATTATGTTCGTAGTTTAAGAAAACAAGCAGAATGCAATAAGTCTGGCAGTGGTAGAAAAAAAATTCAACGTTACATTTTTGAAGAACAGCTCTCATTTTTAAAAAAAGTTAGAGAACTTCGTCCCACTACTAGTAGTATTCAATCAGATTTAAATGATGAAGATGGTGATGCAACGCAATTGTCAGATGCTACAGCTACAGCAGATGAAAGTTTAACAAATGATCATATAAATAATACAGGAAAAACTGTTTTAACACCTCCACCTATTAAAAAAAAGAAAATTAACTTAGAAGAAAAACTTGCTTTGTTTTTGGACTCCAGACAACAAAGTAATAATGAACCAAGCCGAGATACTGATGATGAGGACCTAAACTTCTATAAGTCAACATTGCCATTAGTTAAGATGCTAAACATGGAACANTTGCCATTAGTTAAGATGCTAAACATGAAACAAAAATACAATTCCGAATTCAACTTATGCAGCTTCTACAACGTATAAAGCTAACCAATAACGCACCTCCATATTTCCAACCACCTGGTACAATTTTCAACCCTTATTCTAGTGTACCGATATCTACTTTAAATCATAGTTATAACACATCTATGCCTGTGTATCCGTCTACAATACAACACCCTCCGATGTACAACCATGACGAATTGACACAAACAAGTACAGCTCGAACACTTTCACCATTATCATCAAACAATTCTGATACTGGATATTTTAGTCAGTTTTCTCCAGACGAACAAAACTTAACATCAAATACGTCAACAAGTACTATGTAAATTTGAAATAATACACAAGGTAATGTATAATTTTAATTTTCTTGCACAAATAGCATAATAAAAGGTTTATTTTTTTTTTTAATTTTTCACTAAATATAAATTTGATAAATGCTAATATATTTAATGTAATTATATATAATAAAATTTTATAACTATTTATTTTGTGTATTTTATTATTAATTACCTCAAAGTAACTGCCAACATCTCTTCTGCTGGTATCGCAGATCTCATAACTGTATCTTGACGCATTATATTTGTTTTAATATTATTAAACAGCTCGTCAAATGTGCTTGGAGACATGCGAAAATAATTAAAAAATTTTGCATTGTCTGCTCTTAGCAAGTTATACAGATTGTAAAATGCACCATTTAATAATCGTTCACTATTTATTTGATGAACCCACCATTTTCGATTCACCCGTTTTTTTTTTCGTAATACTCGTATAGCGGAGTATACAAAAATCGCGGTATCCAAATTGTCCATCTTGTAGGATGCTAAATTAACAACCGACGTTCTATTTTACGTTCGTGTGACTAGGGTAGTGACGTCCGTTATAACTTAACGTCCGTTGCAATGTCCGTTCTTTCAACGCTCGTGTGACCGTGGCCTTACAGTTTATTCCGCATATAATAACAATACATATAATATAAGACAGAAATGAATCCGAAGATGATGATGACGTCGGCGTGCGGTATCACAAAGGTAACTCATTGTATATTTGCGGCGAGTCGTAGATGGACGTGCGGCATTTGCTGGACTTTGTACCGTGGCGTATCGCACGCGGTATTAGTCAGACAAACAACCATATGTACGTAGTAGGGCGACGGCTGATAAAGGTGTCACGGGTCGAGAACGCCGCGGGACCGTGTCAATAGTATACAGGGTGTTCAGTAAGTCAGGAAACGGGTTTCTATTGTTCTCATTGTTTGTAACAATGAGAACAATAGAAACCCGTTTCCTGACTTACTGAACACCCTGTATACTTGAACACATTTTTATTAATGTTTTGTTTTTATTTAATTTTTGTGTTAGTGGAATATGTCGCGAAGAAATATTTATTTCATCGATTCTATTAATAATCAAATAACTGGGAGCAAATTATCGTCAATCAAAGACTGTAATTGCTGTAGCACCTGGAGTAGAGCAATTTCTTGCTGTTCCTATTCTTACTTCTTCTATGGGATTGGAATTTACATCTGCAGTGTATGACACATTGCAAGAATGGAACTCTCTTGATAAAATCCAAGAAATAGTTGTTGATACTACAGCTTCCAATACATGCAGATTAAATAGAACAAAAGTTAAACCGGAATCTTTTACTATAGCAAGTCATCATATTTTTGAAGTCGTATTTCAAGGTGTATTTTCTGAAACTAAATTAACTGTTATGTCTGGTTTAATTATAAATTTAAATAATATCAATTAAATTAATATGATATAGATAAGAGTAGTTATTGTATCTGTATAACAGATAATACGATACAGTATGATGTAGTTTGTAAGGTTTTGTCATTCGCAGAAGATAAAATCAAAGACGATTTCCCTCGAAATGACTATAAAGAGTTATTAGAGCTAATAATTATTATTTTAGCATGTACATAACTAAATGGAATTCAGTTCTAGCAACCAGGAGTATATCACTATGTAAGATGGATGGCAAAAGCCATCTATTGTTTAAAAATTTACATATTTAGGCATAAATTTAAACTTATAACGAAAGTTCTGCTTTAAAAGACGTATGCTGTTTTATTATTAATGTTACATACAACAATGGTTTACCTGCACAAATATTATTGAAACTACTTCAAATTATATTAATTTTTTAAAAAAATTTATACTTTATAAGCAAAGCGCAAGAAAGAGTAGACATAGCCATAACAAATTTTTGCAATCATTTGTGATTCTTTAGTGAAAAATATATGGGTATGCTTTATTTGATGAAAAGCTTCTATAGTTTGGACAAAGCTGGAATTAGGAAAGGCAAGTAATCTTCTCAAGACTTGAAAATACCACCCAAAAAAAAGAAAACTAATACTTGTACTCCACCAGAGCTCAGATATGATGGTATTGATCATTATCCATTGAAAAAGAAAACTGGAAAAGCATCTCGCTGCTATAAGATACATTGTAGATCGAGAACAAGATATACATGTGTATGTGTATGTGCTCTATGTCCAGAATGTATGAAAGCATTTCACACCAAATTATATAAAAATTGACTACAGTATATATTTTATTTGTTTAATACTTTTAAAACTTATATTCAGTTAAAATACTGAAGTTATCAGAAGTCTGAAATTTAAAAAAAATACCTAGTCTTATTTATAATTTTTTAAATATTATTTGTTTATTATTATTCAAAATTGATCTTTTAAAATTTGTTTTATTATGTATATTTTATGAAGTTAATTTTATGATTTATAATTTATGAAGTTTTTCTAAAAGTTTATGTTTGTTATTATTTTTTTTTAATACTGAATAAAGTATGTTTGATAAAATTAAATAATATGAATATTTTTTTCAAATATTGCACGATGGTATCATATGATACCATATACTAAAACCTTATTTTAAGTTGGTCAAAATCAAAAAAAAATTTTTTATTTTCCCTAATATCATAAGGTAATTAACAATCTGATTTGCAATTTAAATATTTTATTTTTAAGGAAAAAAAATCTCGTGCATGAAAAGGTTAAACCATTGTAGTAAAACCATGTTTAAATCCATATGCGTACAATTTTGAAGTTTTTTAACTGATAATATTCGTTTTGAAACATTTGTTCTATTTTGTCTCGAGTTTTCTATGAGTTAGAAATTGTGGAGTGACCTACACCTAATTCATTAGCTACGATGGAATTTTTTTCACCCTTTTTTAAACGAAAAATTACATTTGATTTTTCTACAATAATTGTAAATTTACAATTATTGTAAATTGCCTTCGTTTACTCATATTATATAGATTGAACAATCAAACACAATTTACAGTTTATCGTAGCATAAAAAAAATATTAGTGAATTTTGAGCGTCCTAGATCAACCTATTCACGTGCCTCAAAGTGGTTGAAATTTTATAAAAAGATGTAGGAATTTAGTTTTTTGTATATATTTTTTTAAGTATTATAAATAGAAAAAATTCCACAAAATGAATAATGTAGTTAACAATAATATAGAGAGAAAAGGTTATCATGGATTGTTCAATGTCTAACTAATAAAAACTGTTTAATTTTATTTTTTATGAAAACAGAATTTTTTGATCTTTAACGTTTATCTCTATATACTGAGTGTTCAATAAATTCGGAAACACCGATTACAATTNACATTACTTTAGTAAAATTTGAGATCATAGTTTTTAAACAATTACAAATTTAAAAAAGAAAACACGAGCAAAAGTGTTCTTCTACCACCAACATAAATCAGGAGGGAAAGAAAGTATGCCCCCCCTGAACTATGTTGGTGGTAGCGTGGACACTAATTAGACATTGGGTGATGGTACGATATCTGGCCGCATCGACGTTACGTAACGAGCTTCTAAGAACAGCGCCCCATCTCGCCTATCTCGAAAAACGCGTTACGAACACCGCTGCGACGAGATTCGAACCACCTACCAGAAAACTTAGAAATTGGTATTTTACCCAATGCCGCTAGTGCCCACGGTGAAGTCATGAAGCAAAAATGTACTTATTTAAAAGACACAGATTGAAGAGTTATATGACTTGTTATCAATAACATTATAATAGATGGCATACAATAGCTCTTATCTTTTTTTTAAAAAGAAAAATCAATGACATAACCTCATCTAATAATAAATGCTAGGTTTAACCTATTCTGTACTAATATATTCTATTATTTTCATTCATTTCAAACTATCGTTTTGATGTTTACTTAACTAAATTAAAAAGAAACTATTTTATAATAAGTTTATTTCAACAACTTTAATATTTCTTGTATTATAAGTTTTAACCAAACTACAAAAATACAATTTCTACATAATGAAATGTTATGTTTTTGATAAAATACACTGAAATACATTCTAATATTAATAAGTAAGTACTCTTAAAAATGTTAATTTATGTCAAAAAAATCCTTTTTATAAGAGAATGAAATATAATTGTTATAGTGCAAAGAAGAAATAAAGATTTACAAGCAATTTGTTGATATATTCAATTTAAGTAAATTTAAGTATTGGTTGGTGCATACTGAAGTTATACTAGAAATATTTTAACTTCAATTGCTTATGACATTGAAATTCAACAATGAAATACTGTGATAAACTAATAATGATTAGCTCAAAACATGTATCTAATCTACTTATTACTCAAATGATGTTTCCAAAACTAATTTATTNTGATGTTTCCAAAACTAATTTATCAAAATAACCAAGCAAATAAGTTTGAATATTATAAAATATAGTAAAGATTATAAGTTAAATTCTGAATATTTCATTATACAAATTATTTAAAAAATAAGTCTGACTACATTTTTATTTATTATAATATTTTGTTGTTTTATTAAAACATGAATAAAATATTCAGAGTTTAAAAAATTATTTAAAAAAAAATTGCACATATAGTTGGCTGTTGGTTTGTATTTTTATAGATTAATTATCATTTAAAGTTTTCATGCTAAAACATTGTATAGTTTCATACTTGGTAACCATAACAATTAATGTAACATTCATTTTTGATTTTGATATACGTTTAGAAATACTTAACCAAAAATAGTTAATTCAAATAAAAATAATAATTAAATTTTCATATTATAAATTGGAGTTTACCCCATCACTTCAATTTAAAATATGTCAATTTAAATTTAATTAATTTAGTTTGTTTTGTTGATATTATTATTGAAAAAAATGAATTTTTGACCGTAAATACATTTATTATAATATGTCTCTTTTAAAGAGAATTTGTTTTTTATTTTGAATGTAATTATGTAAAAACTAAATATTTAATTTAAATAATTTAACCATATTTTTATAATATATCTGTATTTAATTAATTCATTGAAACAATTTTTCTAGTAAATTAATAATAGAATAATAAATTTTTATTCATTGGAAAATTAAAATTATAAGTATTATTATTTTGAGTATGAAATATACAAATAAAATGTTTTCTATTTTGTATTATTGCATATGTCAGTTATAAAATGTTTACAATTAATTATTATTATAGTAAATATATTTTATGTTTTATTAATTGACTTTTGATATGATTTATTTATTAATCTAACAAATGAATTATGTAATTTAAATATATATTCTTTTTGAATTTTTTCTATTTTATCTTTCAATATTTTTTCATATGTATTTAAAAAATAATGTGTTATTTTGGGTTTTTTAACTCCAATAAGCAACAGATTTTTTATAACATGTATTTGAAAAACATTGGTAAATTTATGCATAATATTTGTAATTATTATTATGAATAAAAATATCAATAAAAAAAAAATTCTTTAGATCCTCTTTAACTAAGTTTTATTATATTAAAAAATGATAATCATTGTTCATTGTATAAGGTTAGTAACTTTTTAAATATATTTTGAAATATCATCAATATATTAACAGGCTATTTATTTCAATTGTATATTTTCTTAAATATCTTACTGACCAATTTTGTTTCCACAGAAATACTAATTTTTTATTATGCAA